GCGTGAAATTAGACAAAAGGGTTATGGCAACATGGCCAAATGGAGGGCTGGGAGGAGGTGCCATATGCCATATGTGCGACGACTCAGTCGGCCGGGTTGACTTTGCACTCGAGGACGACGCGCCTTGACTTAATGAAGATGACGAGTCGCGGAGAGACTGGGCGTGTTTTAATCCTTCGTAGGCCCAAATGCTAGGTGTTGCCGCCGCTGTTGCTGCGTTTGTCACTGCAACACACACGAGGCGTTAATTTATTACAAATTATTATGATTCCTTTTTGCGCCTGCGGTGCCTAAACCTCTTTTTTTTTCTTCCGCATTTGTCGGGAAAACAACAACATGAACCCTCGTTGAAGACGTCTAGACAAATGCACTCCAAAGGTTAACATGATAAATGTCGTTTGTTGCCTGTGACGCGACAACTTTCATGTTGCTGCTGCTGTTGCAATTGTTGCAGCAAATGTCGCTGCATTGCAGTCGGGGATTTGTTTTCCCCAACTGCATTGTTTTTCCTGCAGTCGTGTGGCGATTATTAAGCCGAGCCAGTCAACAAATTAATCAATGACGTGAGCAATTAAAGAGCTGCAGGAAAACAGTAAAAGCAGCAAGAAATATGGCACACAGGACAGGCGTAGCTTTAGAGATGGTAAAGAGTTAACATGTTAATAAAAAGTATCGCATGGACTTTTTGAGTCTACTATCAACACTTTTCGATAGTCCTTAAAACTATTCTAAATATTTTAATTAAATCTTAAGTTTCATGCGTGTTTCCTTAGGTTATATATAGCTTAGCATTTTAACATAATTTAATTCACTTATTTCATAAAGTTTCATAAAATTTTAGAGCATTCTGCTCAATATCAGGATAATCGATGGTATTAATTATGATTTTCTAGTTACTATCGATATTCTTGAAAAGTGATTTTTTTTAAGTTTACATAATTACACTAATTAGGGATTTTTTTCTTTTATTTTATTATTCTATGAATTTGGTGTAATACTTAAAGTCGAATATTCAATTATTATAAATGTATATAAATTAAATATATAAAATCATATATTGTTATGAATACTTAATGCTACAAAAATGTATCCAAAACTGAGCTTGTGATTATAAGTTTGTAAGTCTATTTTTAATGATTTTTGTAATATAGATTAAATCGATATCTTATTTTAAAGCAAGCTATTAATAACAACCGTTAAAGCTATCACCATCTCTGGCCTGCAGCGATATATGAGGAAAGTTAAACTAAAATTGGAACCTGATTCTGCATTCTAATTTCGTGTTCCCCTAATTGTGAATATTGCAACTGCATTCGATATGCGGGAAACTAGTCCCAGTCGCTGGCCTACCATTTCGATAACTGCGGCAAAAAGTGTAGAAACCCGCGGTTGCTTCATCTTCATATTCATCTCGGAGCCTCTATTGGCATTCCGCGCTCGGATGTGATATGATGTGGTGAGCGTGGACCGCAAACTGCGACACCAGCAACAGCAACACCAACAATGGCCTGCTAGACCGCAACAGCAACACTAACAAGCGACTTTAGCCAAATTAAGTTGTCCAGTTTGCGGTGTACGCACAGCGGGTTGCAAATAACAATCTCCTGTTTACAGCAACCACAGCCAATGGCAACTGCAACTGCAACAGCAACACCAAGAACAACAATTGGAAACAACACCAAACTAACAACAGCAATCAAAACTGCAAAAAGGAATAGAAAAATTATTGCAACGACCCAAAAAACGCATTTAACTCATATTTCTTGCCAGTCGCCAAAATCAGTTTTTTGTTGCAATTTTTTTTTTTTTGACCAAGGCACCTATGTCGATTTAATATAAATTGTCAATATTTGACACATTTACGTGGTGCAGCAAAAAATAAAAAAAAAACCGATCAGGAAAACAGAAAAATATTTGTCGGCGGGCTCAGAAATTTATCAAGTGTCCAACACAAATGAGAAAGGAAAATCTAAGAGCTGAATGAGAAAGCTTTAATACCCTTTAAAACTTGTGAAATCTTTTCTTATTAGCCCAAATCATATAATAATATAAATTCACTTTACAATAATAGTCTTAAAGCGTGCTTAAATACTGCATGAAATAGTACTTCTTATGCAAAGCGGTCCTTAAACTAAGGTAGTTTTAAAGCTTGGTAGAGTATTTCCTCAACTTATTTCTCGCCGCCGGCCAATTAAAAACTCCCATAACCGAAAAAAAGAAATATTAACTTAATTTTACTAGCCGCAAATATTTCTCTGCACATTACGAAAGCCGACACGACGTTGTTGCTTTTGCTTCTGCACATCGACGGCGGCAGTTGTTGTTGTTGCAGCGGGACAGCCAAAAATTATTAACTAAAAAAGCCAGAAATTGCAAAAAGATTGCCTGGAAATTGACATTTGCTCGTTAATGTGTGCCTGCTGTTGCTGGTTAGCTGCGGAGCCCCAAAAAGCAGCATCGACAACAGCAGCTGACCAGGCTCGTTTGTCGGCATCGCATGCGACTGCCAATAATTTAGAGCTTTTAATAAAAATGTTGCTGCTGCAACACCGACAACGTTGCGGCTGCGATTCGGGCACTGTTCAAGATTTATATCATAATTTATTTATTAATTTCATTAAGTAAATTTTATTTGATGAATGACGTTGTCTGTTGGTCGCCTTCCCGCGGCGGTTGCCGAAATGTTTATTGTTGTTATTCCAGGCACTAAAGAGGACTCATAAATAACGAAACCAATAAATAGTACGGAAGGAAAATCTAAAATGTACAAATATGTAAATATTTTTACAACATTTTTAGCACTGTAACTCCAAAACATTTAAAGCCAGCTTACTTTCACTCGGCAAACGCCAAACTTTTTATGTAGTAAAAGTACTGCCCTCAAATATTTATTCCAACATGTTTTAAATCTGATGTTAATTCATGGCATGTTGCACAACTAAAAACAGAAAATTCTTTTTAACGTTCGCCTCTTAAATAATAGTGCACCATTAAGGCAAACATCAAAAAATGATTAAAAATCCATTTGAAATTATATTCAATAATAAAACATCGAATAAATTTAGTCAAACCAAGCGAATTGTTTAACGTTTGCGCCATCATTGCAGCCAAAAAACATCGCCAGTACAATGAAGAAAAATCAAAAGCCCATAAAACTGACGACTAAAATCAATTGCGACGCTAAACTTTAATACCCCATCTGGAGGGGACTTGGCCAAAAGGTAGGTGGTTTTGCTGGCTGTCTGCGAGCGGTGGAAAAGCTACCAAAATTGAAGGTTTCACTCGGCGAGCTGGCCAAACGAAATCGCAACGGCCTCTTGCCAAATTCAATGGATTTTACTTTTCGTTTAGTCAAAAACCGAAAAAACCAAAAACAACAAACAGAGAATCGTAGCAAAGAGCTAAAAAATCGTAGGAAAAAAAGCTAACTCGCTGTCGTGACCAATTAGTGATCCAGTCGAGCGGTCGCTGGGGCGGTGCGGCGGAGGGGGCGTGGTCGCGCAGGCGCACGTCAGCTATAGCCAAAGCTATAGCCACATAGCTTCAGCTCGGATATCGAAGCAGGGACGGGAATAAAGACAGCAAACCAAAGCTGCAATCGAGACCGAGTCTGAATCCACCAGAGCTCAGCTCACAGTCTGAGGCGCACTTTACATTCAAATATTTTGTGACACAAAACGTTTTTTGTTGCTGCACCAGCGGATTTCGCTTTTGCTTTTGCTGGGGGTCTCTGTGGGTCCCACCGCATATTTGTTTTGGCTTTTGTCTGTGGCAAATCTTTACCCATTTTTTTCCAACTTGGGCGTGTTCGAGTGCCATGCGTTTAGATTCTATACTCTATCCGATAAGCATTGCAGTCTTCCAAATAGCTTAAGTTGCCATATTACCATCTATTATACCCTCTATAAATATATTTTAGATTGGACCGAAATATATACAAATATGTATATAAAAGAGTATTGAACGTTTAATACAATTACAATTTCAGGGTTTCTTAGGGTTTCTGAATGTACTTATCGATACTAGTTAGTTCTTAGACTTTTCTAATAAGAAGTACTAAGTGTGTAGTGTTGAAAGGTGTCATTTAAATAGAACTCTCTAGAGTTTCGAAACAGCTGTTAGAGTTCCCAAGCAAATAAATTTTTTATTAAAAGGTGGCAGCCCTATAAGCAGTTCCAGTGTCAAAATCGTCACAGAGTTGTGCAAGTTGTTCGCAGCACAAGAAAATTTCTTTAAGAAAATCCACAAAATGAGTATCCGGACCCCGGAATTCGTCCTAACTGCGGTGGAGCTGAACAGACAGTCTACCTATACCATCTTAAGAACGACCCGAGAAGCAGTCCGGAACCGATCCGACGGTATCAAGTGGGAGGACGAGAAGGCCATGGATCGCTTCCTGGCATCCAATCTGGAGAGGGATAAGCTGCCGGAGGACACGCCACTGCCCACAGGGAGCCGCGTAGCGTCAGTCCCCCGAGCCAGTGGGACAAAGAGATGGCCCAAGAGAAGTAGACTTCTTCAATTCTGCACGCCAGTAGATTAAATAAATAAAATAAATGAATTAATATGGGCTAAAACATGTTTCATTTGATTACAGAACTACATCGCATACGAAGTGTGTTATAATATAGGCAACAAATTCCTGAAATCTAAGCTTAGTGCAACGAAATAGTTGGAAACTGAAAGAAATAACATAATATTTAACAAAAAAGTTGGCCCAACTCTAAAATGCTAATTTCTAAAGATTTGATCTTAGAGTTGCGGGTTTCAAAGTTTTAATGCAAATATAAAATTATATTAACAACTTCTAGAGAACGTCGAAATTCATTGAAATCCCCAGAAATTTTGTTAAAAATGGATACGCATTACCTATTTTTTGATTTATTTATGCTTCAAAACTACCTATCTCAAGTTTGGCTATACCCAAACCTAAATTAAGATCTATCACAAGTTTTTGGATAGTTGGGGGCAAAGTAAGTGAGCGACGACATATACTCCAACAATACACTCGTCTAGAACGCTGACAAACATTAAAATAATTAGAGCTTTTTTAAAAATGAATGAAAATAACCAGGCTGCCGATTCCTCCCTGGCGGATCAGCCGGGTCCCGGAACGGCGGCATTTCTCCAGGCCATTCGCAACTGCCGGGAAAGTGACGTCGAGCCGTTTCAGGGACGCTTTACCGACGAAGTGGATTTCCGAATCATGGCCGCCAGGGATCGGGTTTGCTATGACAAGGCCATGGATCGCCTCATGAACTCTAGGTTGGACCGGGAAAAACTGCCGGAGGACACGCCGCTGCCCATTTACTTGGCTTACAAAGAACCGCGCAGTGTCAGCCCACCGAGCAAATGGGATAAATTGCCTACTAAAAAGCAGAAGATATCTTAAGCTTTCTGTCATATTGTTGTTTTTAAAATTTAATTGATTAAAATTACCAAAGAGTTATTAAAAATTTTAAAATAAAATAAAACTGCGGAATCAGTGGCGAGGGTGCTACCAACGGTGCAAACAATCATTCAAACATTTTAGTACAGTTTGATGGAGAATTAAATTGGAAACTTACAGAGAAAATTACCATTCAGATTAACGCAAGATCCATGTAGAATATTATACAATTTAAACAGGGGGAGATAAAATATAAAATTAGACAAATTTATTCCGAAATATCTATAAAAAATTGAAAGAAACTTGTTTATTTGGCCCATAGAGAAACCTTCAAGTTTGAAAAAAAACTAATCTGAGGTAAATTTGTTAGTGTATAAATTTCTTTTCTAAACAACTTTAGGTATTATTTTAAATATATTTAATTTTAAATAATTTTAAGAAACTAGTGAGCCTCAAAGTAGGCAAGATAAGTTTTGTTAAAATTCTCTTTGTGTTTATGGCACTTTTAAACAAGTAAGAGCATATACAGGGCGATGTCTATGTCTGTTAGTCTTGTCTTTCTTAATTTAGTGTCCGTTTTTCAATTTCAGAGTTTCGCATATTAGTCAGCATGCCAGGAGCAGCGGCAACAGCAACAGCGGCAGCAGCAACACCAGACACAGCAGCAACATCAAGCGCAGCTCCCATGACTCATTTCGCCTGATGCGCGCGACATTAAGAGACAAGGCTGAGGCATACAAAAAGAGGAAAAACACAACGGCTACGAACCCAAACACTCACTTGACTTGAAAATCTGCAGAGGAATAACTGACAGTGTACACAAGCAGCACTAATTGCTGTAAAATTGCAACCGGACTGGGGGGAAATCGGGGACTGCGGGAGGACATAGAACAACAGGAGAACACAAAAATCACAGCAGCTACAACTGGCCGTGTGTTTGAAAAAAATCTTAACGGAATGAATGCAACAAACGAACGAATGTGCAACGAAACAAGCAGCAGCAGCAGCAGCAACATGAAGCCGCAACAGCAACACAAGCTGCAAACAACTCAATTAACACAAACAACCAGCCAGAGAATCGCGCAAAAGTTGCTGTTGCCGTTGGGCTTAGCCCAGCCGACCGCGCCCCCAATTCCAGGGCCGCCCTTTTCCCCCCTGACCAATTCCCTTTGGTCCTCGTTTTCTGGACACTTTTTGGGCTGTCCCCAACGGCCCCTCGGCAATGCAAATGAATGCAGCTTGGTTTTGCGGCAGGCAACATATCTCCAGGCAGTGAAATTAAAGTGAGCATGTGAAACATAATTAATGTAACATAATCATATTAAATTTATAGACTAAAATAGTAAGATCCGTTTTTGAGACATTTAATTTTAAAGAACTGTTTTGATTTTCATTAATAAAATGTAGCACATAACTCTATAAAGGCAAATTGAAAAACAAATAAGACTGTATTCATTATTGCCCACTAAGACCTAAGAAACAAGACAAAATTTGGATATAAAATTGTGTAAAAATCCCAGAACTCTATAAATAAATAAAAATATCGTTTTGGATTCGGGTTGACCTTAAAACGAATCCCATTTCATATACAACGACATCTCGTTTTCTGTTAAAAAGTTAAGGTTATGCACTCAACCTCACCTACAATTAAGTAAGAAAGACAAACTTTTCAAAACGAATTCCAAGCCTTTGATCATTTATGATTTATGAGCTGAAACGCTTTCAGTAGATTAGCAAACTGTCTAATTTGTTGCGTCCACATCGACAGGCACATTGTGGCAATCAAAAGGAAAATGTTCCTTTCTTCGGGATCACTTTGTGGACTCGTCAGGCGAAGCCGCCACAAACCGAAGGAGTCTTGAGTGGCGATTCCTGCGGAGCGGGAAGCGGGCTAACTTAAATTGCTAATACCTGACATTGGAATGTTTTTAGCACTTCAGTTGTGTTTGGACAACAGCAACAATGGCAACTGCAACAGCAACAGCAACACCAACAGCAACAAGCGGCAATGACTTGGCCAAAAGCCATTGGCAGTTTGTGCTAAGCCGCCACAGAAATGCAGATGCGGCTGGAGGCATCCTCATGCATTTATGCAGACGTAGCTGCCGCCAGCTTGTCGTCGATTTACCTTCTGCCCCCCGAATACCGCTCCCCCTCCGCCAATCACGTCCCCCCTCTACCCGTTCATCACCCCTTAACCAACTGCTTAGCAATGCGCATATATTTGCCAAGTGTTCGAACGGCTTTGATCGACGTGGCTGGCTCGACTCGAAGGTGTCGGCTAGCGGGGATTTCTCGGTCAGCCGAAAAAGAATAAGAAATGCCATCAGCCAGCAGGTGTTGGCTCCGTCTCTCGAAAAAAACCAAATCCCAGCCCCAAAAGCCATCGCCAAATTGATTTGTCAATCGCAGAAACCGCAAACCTGCGCACATTTCGTTGGCATTTGAAAGCCATTTGAATAACATTTCACCCGGCCCGAAGACTTAAGTCAGCATTTGATATTTGTTTTTTTTTTTTTTTTTGCCGTTTGGGAAAGTACCACATTTGAGCAGATGCAGGAACTGCTGGTTGCATTGGGATACAGGCTAGCGATTGAAATAATTACAGTAGAGTGTTTACCCTGATTGCGTTGCTGTTTGTTTTACGGAAACTGCTTTAGATATAGCTGGATGAAATACGGTTAAATGAGGTTTTCGCGGTGTCCGCGCGGAAAATAATGGTTATGTTTGTAGATCATAACTGAAAGAATAAATTTATAGGTTTTTATACAAAATAAACCGTATATTTATTGATTGTGTTTTCTATAATTGAAGAGAACAACAATTATTTATTAAAATAATTTGTACAGCTTTTCTTTATTTCAAATTTTTAATATTTTTGGTAAAAAATATGCCTTTAGCACATCCTTGTTAAAAAGGGTTTTACAAAAAAAATGTATATGGCACTTAAGTTAATAGGTTTTCTTCGTGGTATTAAATGGCATATTTTATTTTGATTATTGGTGGTATCCTATGTTGAAATCCCAAGTTCCTTTTAAATAACTTTATTATATACTTAATCCTACTGTTTTTGAAATCGCAGAAACCTTATTTATGCTATCCCGCATGATTTTATTCAAGACAAAGTATTTAAATAAAAAAGCATACAAAAGATAAGCAATTTCGATCTGTTAATAACCAGTTGAAAATTATCTCTCCTTTTTCCCGTGCAGTGTTAATGCAGCTGCAAGTTGTCCGCGCCGTTGTCATCGTGGTTGTGGCAGTTGCTATTGGTACTGCTGTCGCAAGTTGCCGTTGTGCCCGTGGTTGCAAGTTGTCGCCGGGTCGGTCCCTTCGCCAATTTGTTGCTGACACGGCTGACGAAGAGAAAGAGGGGCTTGGCCCAGACCAACAGCAACAGTTGGCAATGGAAGCGCATAAAAACTAATTGATTGGATGCCAAGATGTTAAGCGCATAACGGCAGCGGCAGCGGCAGCGGCAATAGCAGTTGCAGTTGCAATGTCGTCGCTGCAGCAGCAACATCCCAGTCTTTCAGCAACTTTTATTCAATTTAAATGCGCTTGCAGCGCCAATTCCGATGCCAACTGGATGCCCCGCCCTGTGCCGGCCAATTCGCTTAAATTAATTATTTTTTATTAACTTTTCGCTCATTGATGAAATTTTTCAAATATTTCCCCGCATTCCCGACTGCTGCGGCCTGCCGCAAATTTGTCGCATGCGACTTTTACACTGATCGTTTGGCATTTTTGTTGCGCTGGTCGGCATAAAGTTTGATGGCAAGTTAATAAAATGATATTGCCGTCGGGAATATTTGGGATTTTCGGGGAAGCCATAAAAGACTGCGGTACACGGCACTCGGAACCTTCGATTTCACTTAAGTGCTCCTTCTCTATCTCGGGGCTAACGGGAGTGGTTCTGGCCGGGCCAGGAATACCCCATAACCAGGAATATCTACCCGGTTAATCGCGTCAACTCGTTATCGTGTGACGTTAAATCCACTTCTCTCCCAAAACGCAGGCGCGCATTTATCAAAAGTTATTGCAAATTAATTGCAATCTGGCCGGCTCAATCTGCGGCATCATCTCGAGGCGATCTGGCCAAGAGCCAGAGACGTCTGGCATTTTCGGGCCACGGCTGCTGCTTACCAAAATTTATTGATGCCTTATTAGCTGATAATCACAAACACACTCGCGAGACCGTCTTGGAAACGGTAAAAAAGTATTCAACTCGCCTGGCATATTAAAGTGCATTAAGATAATTGAAATGGCCAATAAAAAATATTTTCCCTTTCCAGACTGGCTCCATCCGCTCCATCGGTGTCAAGAACTTGTCCGAAGTGTTGAGTATCGCGCTTTGGGCGTTTTCAGTTGGCTTTTTTTCGGGTTCTGGGTTGGTTTTCGACTCCAATTCGGAGTTGTAGTTGGTGCTGGATATCTCGAGGTCTCGGGGTCTTGGGTTCGCCGCTGAGTTATTTGTGTGCGCCTCTCAATGGAGCTGTTTTTTCTCGGAACCCACTCGCACTCGGTGCTGAAACGTTTTTCAATTTCCACATTTCTCATGTCGGGGAGTTTTGATTTAGTGATTATGCCGGCTTCACCTCGCCCCTGGCCCGATCTGGTTGCATTATGTATATGAGTTATTAATAAGCTTTCTTTTGATAAGCCAAGCGGCATTCTGCAGTTTATACAATGGGCGGCCATTTGGTACCAAGTGTTTGCTTAAAATGATTTAAGGCGTTGCCCCAGCGAAATCGGGATGCGGCTGAGCCAATCCAGGACATCTGATAATTGTTTTCACGGTTGTTCTTTGTTTTTGCTGCCACTTGAGGGATTGCTTGGCAGTTTATATATTTTGCAAGATTCTGTGGTAATCAAAAAAAAAACGAAAACATTTAATTTAACAAAAAAAGGCAGGCCAAAGTTTATATACCCTTGCAACCTCTTACAAAATCCATATTTAGATTCCGATACTTAAAAACAATGAAGTTAGGTCGAGTCTTCGGAAACTTAAAAATGACAATTAAATATGAAAAAACGGTA